CTGTCTGTCTGTCTGCCAGCCTGTCTCACCTCCCTGCTCCTTCCTGTCTGTCTGTCTGTCTGTCTGTCTGCCAGCCTGTCTCACCTCCCGTCTCCTTCCTGTCTGTCTCTCTGCCAGCCTGTCTCACCTCCCTGCTCCTTCCTGTCTGTCTGTCTGTCTGTCTGTCTGCCAGCCTGTCTCACCTCCCTGCTCCTTCCTGTCTGTCTGTCTGTCTGTCTCTCTGCCAGCCTGTCTCACCTCCCTGCTCCTTCCTGTCTGTCTCTGTCCTCCACAGCAACAGCTGTATGTGTCCAGTGAGCTCGGAGTGGTCCAGCTGGGGCTCCAGAGGTGTGAGCTGTACGGGGCCGACTGTGCCGAGTGCTGCCTAGCCAGAGACCCCTACTGCTCCTGGGACGGCCAGACCTGCTCCAGATACTTCCCCACCAGCAAGAGGTAGTGATATATAGATATAGATATAGATATAGATATAGATATATAAATGATCCTCCTCACAGACAGATTAACCGACGCGCTCTGAAGAGCAACAGAATGTGAGGCCTGATGAGAGAAACCTTCAGATGTATATAAAGGACAGACGGGTCGAGCTAGAAGGAGACGGGGACATGACAACACTCCTTACCGTGGCCGGAACAACACTCTGTGTTTTCACAGCCTGTACTCGCTCCGTGTCTCCTCATTCATAATCGAGTAGCTGCGTCTTGTTCTTCACCCCGAGGAGCCGGCAGGGAGGAGGGTTTAATGATAGCACTTCATCTGAAGGAAGCGGCCTGTTTATCTGCTGCTGTTTGACCGATGAGTCTACTGTTCACAGTCACAGACGTGACAATGTTACATGTCAGCATGTTCTGTACATCATAGTGCAAATACAGACAATAGTTTATCGATTTATAGTCAAAATTACAAGTTATTAAAACAAGCTTCTTGCTCAGACAACACAGGACATCCAATTACAAGCTTTATGTAACTTATATGTGTGTGTGTGTGTGTGTGTGTGTGTGTGTGTCTCAGGCGGGCACGGAGACAGGATGTAAAGTACGGAGACCCGTGGAGTCAGTGCCCGATCACAGTGGACAGTAAGGATTTCCTCCGTCTGATGTTGAATGAACTTGTTTCAGTGACGTGTGCACAGAAACAGGATTTCCACTCATGGGCTGGAATGTGAAACATCACAGAGATCTGCATGAATTCTATAAATAAACAACACATGTTTGCAGCAATGTACAATAACTGCAAACACAGTACGTTCTTATGAGTATTTATTATTATCAATTATTTAAAGAGAACCTTTTTCCAAATCTTTCTGTAAAAATACTCAATTACTATTACTGAACTACCATTATGCAAAATAAATACTACAGTACTGACTGAATATACAGTAAAATAATACTACAGTACTGACTGAATATACAGTA